AGTTGTAACATGTAACCCATAACTGCTGGAAAGCAGACCTGACTTCGGATCCAGAACATATATTGCTGGCCTGCTCCATTCTCACACGAAATTTGTCGAACGTCTCTTGAGACGTTGGGATCTTCGCAGATGCACTGGGGTCCTTCGGGAAAAGGACAATTCAACAAGGAATTTGTATGCTCAATTTTTTTTCCTGTGCCCTTCGATATTTTAGAAGGGAGGGGCACCATTGGCTACCTCGGCGAGCCCTCCCCAATTTTTTTTAACTCTATTTATTGGGGTGTGCGTGCATGGTTGCCCGTGCACTAGGCGCCACACGTGCGGAGCTCGCGCACATGCGATGCGCCGGAGTATAGGGGTGATATTGGGGTGGTATATGGGGTATTGGGGTCTGCTATGGGCGTGTTGGTGATATTATTAGGGGTTCTGGACCCCCCCCCAAAAAAAAAAAATGCAGGGTGCCGACGACCCCCAACCAGTAGGTTCCGACCAGCCGACCCGTCGGCGGGTCGGCAGCCAACCAGTCAAGGGTCGCCGACGGTCGGGGTGTGTAACACTGCCCCAAACCCTAATTTCAGTTTTGGACCTGTTAGTCAGGAGCTGAAACTGGGGGTCCCTGTTAACCACATGTGTCCAGAACACACTTACATTTCAAATCTTTACCCTCCCCCCCTCCTCTCTCTCTCTCTCTCTCTCTCTCTCTCTCGCGCGCGCGCTCGCTCTCCCCCCCCTCCCCCCCCCTACTCCCCTCACACACAGACACACGGAAGTAGACATCACTATATCAGTGAATGTCCATATCCATTCATACAATTCCGTTTGCCTTCTTTCCCAGCTCTCATCTATGTATCCTTGCATAGATAAGTCTCTGGAAGTCCAATGGAACAATCTTTCACAACTGTAGTTTTTGTCATTATCTATGGTTCGGTGGGTGGTTCTTTGTGACAATATATGTTGGCAAAAGAGCGCACTTTGTGAAATAATAAACAAAGAAAATAGCAGACAACATGAAGCGCACTGAAACCGTTTTTTTGCCTTTTCCTGTGCAGCTTTGTCTTTCCTTTCTTTACGTTGGCCTTTTTCTATCAGCATCCTGATGAGTCAGTGAAACCCCGACCAAACAGCATGTTGTGGCCCCGGTTTCTTGTCCTTTTCTCCCTTTCTGCCTACAGTTCCCCGACCAGTTCTCTAAGACGACTTGGGGTCCTGAGGCCCCCGCAGGTCTCCCTACGGTTCGCCCTACAGTTCACCGGCCAGTTCTACATGACGGCAGTGGTTGGTGCCCACCTCAGGGTATCAGTTGTCGGGCAGTTACTAATGCTCAACTGCAAACGGGGCTAAGCTGGATTATCATTACAGTGTCATTGGTTAGAGGACTCTGCAGACTGCAGAAGGTTCAGCCT